CTCATACCCTTCTCCCATACAGGAGCTTGAATCGGGAAAATCCTTTGGAATCCTGTAGCACCTGTTGATAAGCAAAGAAAAGGTGGGGCAGGAATCACTGCCAGTCTCTGCAAGCGGTAGCGAATGTCCGAGGCATCTGTTTCAGCTTTCCATTGAACCGCTCACAGAGACTGTTGGTCTGGGGGGTGATAACCGGAGCTGTGTACTTAGGCTTGATTCCACATAACCTCCAGATCTAGTGGGTGATCTCGGCAGTGAATTAGGTACACTGGTTGGAGATATCTCCTGGGGGAACCTCACTCTAGAGAAGTACCAGGGCCTCCGCCACCATTTCAGCCTGAATGTAAGTCAGGGCCACCACCTTTGGCTAGCGGGTAGAGTAATCCATAATGATAAGAATATAATTCTCACCAGGGGTCCCACTATTTCCACCCACTGCTACCCTCATGAAATTGCATCAATTGCAACTTGGCTAGGGGATGGTCTCAATTCTTTCCCACCCATTGGCAGGCATCACACATCTGGCAATACCGCTGAACGTCTTGGGAGACTCCAGGACAAAATAAGCTCTGGGTTACCCGGTATAGCGTTCGGCGGATACCGAGGTGTCCTGCCAAGGGGATATTGTGCCCAATCCGCATAAGCTTCTGCCAGTACTTCTGAGTAACTACCAGCTGGCACTTTAGGGAGGGGGCAACCTTACTAAGATGGGCTTCAGTCAGTCAGTATAATCGTCCTTGGTTCCATTCAAAGTGTTTCCCTCCCAATTCCCCTTGGTCAGCCTTAGCTTTGGCTAAAGGGTCAGGTCAGTCACAATTTCTCTCCCAAACTCCTCTGGGGTGTCCCAGGTTAAGAGGAACTCAACTAAGGTCATGGCAGGTTCAGGGTGCCTCTGAGTGCATACCGGCTACAGCAATTTAGCCTCTGCAGGGACTTGCAGAGAAAAGTCTTTTGTAAGGGGGCCAAGGTCATTTCCTAGCAAGACCTCGGCAGACAAGTCTTTCATCACTCCTACTATGCTGGATCCTGCTCCCCAATCCAGATGGATCCTGGTGGTTGTTAGCCTGTGTATGGCTCCCCCTCCTACTCGGATGGCTACAGACTTCCCGGGGTTATCTGTGTCCCCTACCAAGTGTCTCTGTATTAGGGTCAAGGTAGTGCCATTGTCCCGAATTCCTCGGGCTGTTTGGCCAATTACAAGTACCATCTGCCGATGGTGTTGGCAGTTATCGATAGAGGCTGCTTGTACAGGGTCAGCCTAATGCAGGATGTTTCTTCAGCCCCTAGCCCGTCTTGGTCAGGAACGTAATCCAGTCACAATGCAGCGGTTCTAGGAACTGGAGGACCCGGTCTGGTCCCATTGTTGCGATGAGTCTCCATCAGACAGTCTTTCCTGATGTGGCATATGTCTTGGCACCAAAAACACTGGTTCCCATTTTGATTAGGAAGTGCTGCTAGGACCGGGACTGAGCAAGGTGCTGGACAAAAGGGTGGACGGGGTAGTTCTGCGGGAGCTTCGGAGTGCTGGAGGGCTTGCTGTCAGTCTTATCGCCGGACATTGACGTTCTTGTTGCCCAAACGGGCAGCTTCACGTAAAGTGAGGGTTTGCCGGTCTCTTAGTCATTCTCGTAGTTCTGGAGAGACAACAATGTGGTTCTTTGTTGAGCTCATTTGCATACGCTTACCCAGAATCCCTTGCAGTAGTGAGAGCACTGTTAAAGTGAGTTTTCTGTGGGAAAAGCAAGTCTTATGGCCTGACTGGTGTGTGTATTTTAGTTTAGCAATGTATTAACCCCTTAAGGACGGCAGGTGTACTATGCCGTCCTTGGGGACCCGGCTCAAAACGCTGTAGATTCGGCCCTCCTGGGCCATGTGATCGCAAGGTTCTTGCGAAGACCTCACGATCACATGGACGGAATAGCTGTCCATAGCAGTGCCAGCAGGGGAGTGCCTGGAATGATAAGTGTGGGTGCACTTAATATGAAAGAGGTGAATTATAGTTGAACAGACATATAGTCAAATACCTTTGTTTACATTTTGTCTTGATCAAAACGTGTACATTTGGCTCAGTCCTTAAGGGGTTAAATATATATATATATATATATATATATATATATATATATATATATATATAAATAAATAAATGTATGTGGCGAAAGTAACCTCGCCACATGTTCTTGGAGGGGCCAATCTCCTGCCTCAGTACTATGGGCCAGACACAAAGGCTCATAAAAGACCTTGTTCATGCCTTCTTGGCTATTCTGTTCAGTAGTTTGCATTCCCCTCCTATTTTAACATTGTCACGTTCGACTACTGAACAATCACACGAACCAGGGACCACCCGGGAGCTTGTTAACACCTATTAACAACTTGGAACGTTTCCCACCGCAGTGTTCTTATTGTTCGTCTGGGTGGCTACAATTCCTATGGACAACCACGAGGTGGTGATCATCTTGTTCGCATGAACGCAGGCAGTGGTGTTTGGGTATAAATTTCATGGAACTAAAATCAGACACAGAAACTCCTGAACACCGCCAGACTTCCATCATCGCCTGTGTTAATTTCTGTACAAGTTAGAAGGGCAATGTTCGGTGGAATTGTTTGTCCGGATGAAGAGAACAAGCTGCAGGGTAAGAATTTTGACTATGTTTGGTAGTTTATTTGTTTTTAAATTACTGGACTAGACTGAACGTAAACCCTGGTTCTCTGGAACTATTTTGGGCATGGGACCATGCTGTCAAGATTACAAGTTGATCCAGCACGCAGAACTGTGTCACACCTAGGACTAAGGATAACGTATAACCGGACCTTAGAATGGCCGGACTTAACGTATCCAAGAATAATCTAAATACTTGCCGAGGCCAGGAACACAGAATCAGACACAACAATGAGGAAAAAACAAAAGTCAAGGATACCAGAAAATGAAGATCAGGAACGCACTCTCGGATTACCATCAGGATGAAACCAAGACAGGGCAATGAGCAAAAGGAGAATTGGGTTTAAATACCCATCCTGTGGATCCGATTGGCTGTAACCGGCCTTTGACCCCAAAAACAATTACCAGGTTTATATCTGCATGATTGCTGCTCAGCACAAACCCTCCTGTGGATCTGAATGGCCATGACCGGCCTTTGACCCCAAATGCAATTACCAGGTTTCCATGTATATGATTGCTGCTCGGCACAACTTTTCCTGTCAGGACAGTAATACTGCTCGGTACAACTTTTCTTGTCAGGACGGTTAACCACATTTTTATGTGCGGATGAATACGTGACACATGCGTGCGGTCAGTCAAATTAATGACTTCCAGGAAATTCCTGAACCCCTGAACTGAACTGGGTGATTTTTGGATATGTTGGTCACCCAGATCAGGGCTATCAGGGGATGTAACTTCTGTGGGGTTTTATGTGTTTTTTGGGTAATTTTGGGGCATTTTGGAAAAAGTGGAACTAATTGGATTAGATTAGTACAGTTCCTGATCCAATTATCTCCCAGGCACAGAGGAGGGATTGTCCATTTATGTATGGGAGTGTTTTGTATTGTAATACTGATGTCATTGGTCTGTGACTTTGTAATTCAGTCTTCCATCAGGTCCCGGCGGGAGTACCCTTTGCATGGGCATTGTCATAACTGGCCAAGTGTGGTCCCATTAAAATGAGTTCCTGTCTACCCTCAACATAGAGTATCATCTCATGTGTGGGGGGAACAGCTGTATCTACCCTGGGGTTTGCTATATCACTATACACCCCTGGGATTATAATCACTAGCTCTTATAAGAGCTGTTCTCGAGTAGGAGAGGTTCACCCACTGTAAACTGGATCCTGGTCTTGGGTCCAGGGTGGGTGGAGCATGGTGAGTTCCCAGCCAAGTAACATGCTGATGGTGTCTGGTGGAGTGTTTGGAGTTCTCAGTGAGTACTAGGAGCATCGATTGGCAGAGACACCGGTTGGGGTACCAGGCGATCCGGCACAATGTATATGTATATATATAGTTAATACAAAGTTAAACAAAATCTGCACACTGGTTTAAGACTTACCTTTTCCAAAGAAATCACAAATTTGCAGTGATGTTACTACCGCAAAGGATTTTGGGTGGGCATACGCAACATGGATTCCTTTGAGTCTGTATACAACAGCTTTGAAAGACAACTCAGGAAAAGATGCAAAGCCAGTTTTTTTATATATTTAGTGCAGTGTGTGTATAGTCAGTGTGTAGTGTGTTAATGTAGTGTGCAGTGTGCATGGAGATTGTCTAACATGTTTCTGTTAACAGCTTCTGAAGTGTTTCCTCTGGATTAATTGCCCAAATATTATGCCCAAATATTAAGACAGGAGCAAAATACCACAACTTGTATAATATAAGTCAAAGGCTGATAAGAAAATAATAAAGGAGAAACCATGGTAATAAAACATTGCTTTAAGAAAAAGAATGCCATGCCATGGAAGGGAAAGTCATAGGTCTGTGAGTATTTGAGTACAGTTGAGCGGACAACCTGGATGTTCGGAGCGGCGGGTTCGGCCGAATTTTGAAAAAAAGTCCGGGTTCGGGCTCGAACTTGACCCCGAACCCCAATGAAATCAATGGCGACCCAAACTTTTGGCCACAAAAATGCCTCTAAATAACTTCTGGAAAGGGATAGGGAGCTGCAAAAGGAAGTAAAATGGGGATAAGAGTAGGACAAGTGCCCTGCAAACAAATGTGGATAGGGAAATCACTTAAAATAATATAAAAATTTAAAATACAGTTGTGCCATAAAATAGCACTAGATGAAATCTTTGATTTTAGCTTTGGAAGAACAAAAAATCTAAATCTAAAGCATGGCTGTCAGGAGGATCAACAGAATTATCCATTTGAGAGAGGGTTGGAATGCAGGGTGTTCTCTTTCATTGTTCAAACTGAGCTCAACTCCTGATGCATGGAGAAAAGGCCTTCACAAGCCTCTGCTAATGTGTACCTAGTTTATACTAAGTGACCCATAGGTTGAGGAGGCGGTGACCGTGGCGATGGAGGAGGAGGATGAGGTAGCCAACACTGTTTTTATATATATATATATATATATATATATATATATTATTATTTTTTTTTTAATTGGGGTAGCCCCCAAAATATTGGGACATATAAAAAAAGACAACTCTGTTCCGCAGAGTAGCTGTTGACATTATAGTTGCGCAGGAACTTTGTTGACTCTAGAGAACCTCGGGCAAATCGCACATCCCCGTGGCGGCGACTTTGCATGCGGATGTCATCCATATCAACTTTCGATGCCAGTTTCTGCGCCTACCATGGTGACCACGGGTAACGGGGAATCAGGGTTCCATTCCGTACAGGGACCCTGAGAAACGGCTACCACATGCAAGGAAGGCAGCAGGCGCGCAAATGACCCACTCCCGACGCGGGAAGGTAGTGACGACAAATAACAATACAGGACTCTTTAGAGGCCCTGTAATTGTAATGAGTCCACTTGAAATCCTTTAACTCTGATCAATTGGAGGGAAGTCTGGTGCAGAGCCACTGACCCGTGCGTGCTGCAGCTGAAACTCCACTATCGCCTGCTGCTGCTCGCAAAGTCTCATGAGGCGGTGAGCGGGAAGGCCGAAGTTACGCTGCAGCGCAGACAGGCGAGCAGCAGCAGGGTGACAACGACAAAAGCGCACAGCCGCTACAGTGAATGTCACATCCTGACAGTGTCTGGGTCCTGGTCACCGGACTGCCCACCTCACTGTGAAACTACAAATGGATCGTTAAATCTGGTACGAACCCGAACTTTGCAGTTCGGGTTCGCTCAAGTCTATTATGGATCCTTTGATCGCTACATGTATTACTTGGATAACTGGTAATTCTCGAGCTAATACATGCCGACGAGCGCTAGGGGACGGCCGCTCCGCTTTTGCACCCTGCTCCCTCTTATGCTGTGCGACCAGCGCCTCTTCCTCCAAACTGCACACGTCACTCGCATGACCTTGATTCCATGTGGGGTCTAGGACCTCATCATCCTCCACATCATCTTCCACCCACTCCTCAACCCTGCCCTCCTTGCCAGTATGCACACTGCAGAAAGCCACAGCAGTTGGCACCTGTGTTTTTCCAGCATGTAAAGTCTGCAAAGGACATATGGAAATTGTTTTAGAATTTCCTCCAGGCAACAGTTTTCCCTATAAACTGACCTCTCAGTTTGACTTGTGAGGGTATTGCCCCAGAATTACAATATTGTTGAAGTACCTCTTAGCTATTGATCACTGGTTTAAATATAGCAGCTTGTTATCTGGTAGTTTCTAGTGTAGAAAATGTAACGGACCGTTTTGCACACAAGGGGTAAAAACCGTTTAGGCGATCGGCCCCCTTTCCAGAGATACAGGCACAGCTACTGCAGAACACCAAACTCCCGAACTGGATACAAAATAGCACTCCAACTCCCGAACTGGAACCTCCCAAATAGCTGCTAGCAGACTAACAGGAAAAGCAGACAATCAGCTTACACTCCTGGCAATCAGTCTCTAACAGCATACAGTGAATCCCCCCAAGAACGAGACAAGGCTCCGTGTTGAGGGTCAAGCAGTGGTCTGAGGTGCTGGCACACCCAGCCTGGTTTTTATTACAGTCTTGCAAATACAGGACCACCCACAGGGAGGTATAAAACAACCAATCACATCACAGTTACATCCCACATATTCCCTCCCCTTATACTGAGAGGAAACTCAATTACACACACAGTTAAAACATACTTTCTACCCAACTTTCATAACTCTAAAACCATACATCACATTCACATAAAATTACATATTCACAATCAATCCATTCAGGGGAACAACATATTAAAAAATGGCATGAATCAGACCAGGGGTTCAAAAGTTAGTAAAAGTATCTTTTGTACCCTGGCTGGCAGCATGGCTATCTGGCTCAAACAGGTTTTACAGAGCCCTCTATCCTGGACAATGGGGAAAGTAATCCAATTATCCAGGGATAGAGGCAGACTCCATTGAGCACATGGGGACACAAAGACAGTAAAACACTATACAATACATCAGGTAAGACACCTTACATTAAAACTATACATTTAACATATGCCCAGATAGCTCAGGTCTGAGCGCACATTATTAAGGGAATGGCGCTCAGACCACATGAATACAGTTTAATCGCCATGGAGCCAAACTCTTTACAGTCAGTTTCATACGAATGGGCTCCATGGGATTCCATGGGATTCCTATCTGGGGTATAACACATTCAAACAAATCTACCGAACCCCAGGCAGAAAAGCACGAATGAAGCTTTTCTGCAGGTAAAAAAGATGTCTTTTTAACAGGGGGCCATAGTCCAAAGGCAGCAGGCGAGCAACCAGGCTTCTCCAATGCAATGTGGCGAGATTGGTCTCGTCACAGAAAATATCTATCTGTTTTTTATCACTTAGATCTGTGCAACAAGTGTTGTAGGTGTGTGCAACTGACCGTTTTGCTCACAAGGGGTAAAAACCGTTTAGGCGATTGTCCCCCTTTCCAGAGATGCAGGCACAGCTACTGCAGAACACCAAACTCCCGAACAGGATACCAAGTAGCACTCCAAATTCCCGAACTGGAACCTCACGAATAGCTGCTAGCAGCTGAACAGGAAGAGCACCCAAGCAGCTTACACTCCTGGCAATCAGTCTCTAACAGCATACAGTAAATCCCCCCCAAGAATGAGACAAAGCTCCGTGTTGAGGGTCAAGCAGTGAACAGACAGAGCTGTGGGTTTATTGTGCTTATGTACACATTCTTATACATTAGTACCACCCACAGGGTTTTGGAACACAACCAATAAACACATACAATACAGTCAGACACTCCCACACAAATTCCTCCCCTCTGCATGTGATTCAATTAACTTACACAATGGGTAATGTAATTTAGCACAAGCAGAGAAATACAATTTTTCCACATTATTCATAACTTGAAAAGTATGCATCACATTCACACGGATACAAGGTTGCTTTCCAAAAGTCTTCTGACAATGTATTCAAAATGCTTTGTATTTATACAATATTTGTCACGAACATTGGTTACAGAAAGTTACACAAGATACATAAAAGAGGGAGTAGTTTCTGCTGTTTCATTCAATAATCTAATCTTACAAACTAACACATGTGCATTGTGGTTAGGCATCTCCTGATACATAGAAACTGTCATAGCTTGTGACTTCCTTTCAGTTATGTTTAGCAAGCAGTTCTAAAAAGAGCTTGCTACTACATTTACAAAATAATTCACCTTATAGAATACTAACAGATTAACTGTTTAAATTCCTTCAGCTGCTCAATGTAAAAAAAAATGTCCCCCCTCAAATTACACAGCATGGGAAAATTCCAAAGAACTTTATAAGCCTTCCCCCGCCCTTCAGAGCTCAGTCTGCGCTGAGCCCTCCATGGGTGAAGATGGATTTTTTTTTTTTGCGCTCGTTTTTTTTTGGCGTTTTTTTTTT